ATAAGAGGCCACAATATTCTACTTTCAGCTCTCCTATTACTGCACTGCAAAATATGTATTCAGGACAAAAAAGCTGCTTATTTCATTGCATATGTTCAAACATCTTAGGCAACAGGTAAAAATATTCTATGCAAACCTGTTTTCAATTTTGCGAAAAAATGAAGTCAGATGCATTAACTCAAAACAAACAAAAAGAAATTTCAAGTGATGAAGTGAAAACTTGCAATATTTACAATCATCTTTCTCACAATCTTATATATTCTTTTATTTAATTGTTCAAGTTTCCCTTACCTCTCAGCTTGTTACAGCTGAGAAGGATAAAAGTTTTTCACAAAAACACTCCCTTCTAGCTGGTCAGAAAGTAATTATCTATTAGACACACTTAGCATTTTTATTTTACCTATTATAACTCACCTGCTTGGGAAGCCGGAAGAGAGAATTTTTGTAAAATATATCCTTCGCCTGACTCCATGTTCCATCGATGATGATCATGACAGATGGATTAGCAGACATGACAGTCACTTCTTCCAAATTGGTTGCTTCAGCTCCAGGATACAAAATTAGAGTATTGGGACTTCTGCACACAGTTGCTAATTCAGGGTGCCTTAAATGCACAGACACACAAAATGAAAATATTAAAAGTTTTACTGACAAATACATACTTCCACAGAATCACAGAATGGTCAGGGTTGGAAGGGACCTCTGGAGATCATCTAGTCCAACCCCCCTGCCAGAGCAGGGTCACCTACAGCAGGTTCCACAGGACAGTGTCCACGCAGGTTTTGAATGTCTCCAGAGTGGGAGACTCCACAACCTCTCTGGGCAGCCTGTGCCAGTGCTCTGCCACTCTCAAAGGAAAGAAGGTCCTCCTCATGTTTAGATGGAACTTCATATGTTCAAGTTTGTGCCTGTTACCTCTTGTCCTAACACTGGGCACCATTGAAAAAAGACTGTTCCCATCCCCCTGGCACCCTCCCTTTAAGTATTTATAAGCATTAATAAGATCCCACCTCAGTCTTCTTTTCTCCAGACCAAAAAGACCCAAGTCCTTCAGTCTTTCCTCATAAGAGAGGTGCTCCAATCCTCTAATCATCTTTGTAGCCCTTTGCTGGATCCTCTCCAGCAGTTCTTCATGAACTGGGGAGCCCAGAACTGGACACAATACTCCAGATGTGGCCTCACCAGGGCAGAGCAGAGGGGGAGAATGACCTCCCTCGACCTGCTGGCCACACTCTTCCTGATGCACCCCAGGACGCCATTGGCCTTCTTGGCCGCCAGGGCACATTGCTGGCTCATGGTCATCCTGTTGTCCACCAGGACTCCCAGGTCCCTTTCCACACAGCTGCTCTCCAGCAGGTCAGCCCCCAACCTGTACTGATGCATGGGGTTATTCCTCCCCAGATACAGGACCCTACACTTGCCCTTGTTGAATTTCGTTAGCTTGCTCTCTGCCCAACTCTCCAGCCTGTCCACGTCATGCTGTAAGACGGCACAGCCTTCTGGCGTGTCAGTCACTCCTCCCAGTTTTGTGTCATCAGCAAACTTGCTGATGGTACACTCTATCCCTTCATCCAGGTCACTGATGAATACATTGAACAGGACCGGACCAATATTCCAGATATTCCAAGTTACTAACTTGCACTCATCTTCTCCAAATTTTACTTAAGTTTCAAAAAAACTCTATTGCTCAGCTACCACCTTCTCTTTCAAGCACCTAAAAAGTTGGTTCTCCCTCAGCTCCTAGGGGGGTAGGAAAAAGCCACCCATAAAAGTAATCAATGAAAGCTTGTTGAAGCAATAGATCAGGAACATTTTACGATGCTTTAATCATTAAGCCTCTAATGACTATTTGAAACAAAATTTAACATATGTATTCTACAAAAATTTGTTCAAGTACCTGACACAAAAATACTACAATCATCCTATTTTGCACTTTGCCTATACGAAGAACACCAGCAATCCATGGTCCACACCTACAGGACACTTTTGAAAAATTTTACCACGTCCTTTTTTTTTTTTTTTAATAACTACTTTTACAGTTAGAGTCCCTCAACTTGTACATTCTCTTTTTCCTTCCTGTTGGCTTCTATACTTGGCAATGGCACCAGAGCAATAACTACTATATATTACGTGTTCACTAAATGCACACAGAAATTCCTGAAGTTTTTGCAGGACACCACTTTAAGTTTGTTTCTGAAAATCTATGACAGGCATTGTAATTTAAGTAGTATTGGAAGCCTCAAAAACCACCTAATCAACTAGGCTGGTAAGGGAGAATCTGAGAAAAAGATGGCCTTGTACCAAAGACTGCATTACTTGTCTTGGATCAATTTCAGCAGTATCATCATGTAGTCTTCAGAACTGCCTCAGTCAGAAAGCAGGAGAAAATACAAAGCAAGGGCTGTGCAAAGCATGTGGCAAAGAATAAGAGATTCATTCTGCATAGTACCTCAGAGGTTATAAAGAGTAACTGATGCGGTAGGAGGAGAAAGCAATATGTAGTTGAAATAGCGTGCAACTATTTGTACTCTGGAGTGGAAAGTGAAGCCAGTACAGCTTATCAGAGAAAATAAGGTGTTATCAGAACAAGGTTAACAATAGCCAGCACATATAGTGGGCTTTCCATGCTACCTATCAAGAACCTCTAGGTGCAACAGTATGGACACAGGCAGGATGCAGATACGGATGTTCGCACTTAGAAATTCTTAGTGCCACTGTGACCTCACAGCTTTTAAGCCCCAGGAGCCGGGCACCTGCCCCACTCCTCTGAAAATCAAGCAAGAAGGCGGGGGGGGGAAGAAAAAAAAAGACTTAGGGAAGAAAGAAATGGTTAATAACAGGGTTTTAGCCGATGTATACTAGGTGTACTTCAAATCTGTGTATTCCATTATCACTCCCTGCAGATATACATGAAAACACAATTTCAGTGTTAGGTTCAAGCAGAATAGCAGTGCCCAAGACATCGAGATCCTGAATTTAAGACCCATACAGGACCATATAAGAAACATCTGAAATAAAAGAGGAACTGAATTCAGTGTACCAATAAGCCCAGAGCTAGGATTCCAATATTTGATCATCCTCGCCCCGCCCAGGCAAACAGTCCAGACTGATACAACATTACGTGGTTCATTACTGTCAACATTATTTATTCAAAAAAAGAATCATGATCTTTCCTTCCAAAATGAACAGTAAAAGAAGTGCCAATAGAGACAGGAAATCTGTAAGATAAGTATGTGCCAAATAGAAGTACGTGGAAACTTCTCCACCTGCTATTTTTTTAAACCTTACTTACATTATGGTAATTTGGTATCAATTTAGGTTAACCAAGAATCATCCTACACAAAACCAAAAGCAAGGAAGTATCTCACTACAAGCTACCCAGCACTCAAGGTTTTAATCTAGAAAATTAGTCATTATTTTCAGATGTTTGTCTTGAGAACCCAGTTCTTCAAACACAAAAGTATCTTAGCTGCGGGATAGCAGAGCTTTCAATTCATTAACATCTCTTAGAGGATTAAAAAACAAAAAAAAAAGAATTGTTAAAACTATTCCAAAATCATAACAACTATGAAGCACTACAAGTTCATATTATGAACACTACAACTGAAGTCTTAGTCTTCGAAATACACTTCATTTGAAAACAATGGTTTTCAATGCATACTCACCCAAGAACTCCAGTCATTTCAGTTTTCAACAGCTTATATGCAAAAGCAAAGGCAGGGGGGTGGTTCAAACAAATTTTGTAAATTTGTCCCACAAATTTAACCTAGGGTTTGGGGGCTGATTATGCATATACTGCCATAAGAACTCTTTACACAGGTGTTGCTGCTATATTCAAAGAGTTTACTATCCACACACTTAATCCTAGAGTGACACTAAGCACGTGCAGAGAGCTGTTTAGTACTCTTTCCTTTCATAAGAACAGGTTCTCAGAAATACATGCTGTACAATCCCTTCTAGGTTATGGTTCACACTGACAGTCACAGTCCACATCAGTAGCTTTATTAAAACGCATCTTCCATTCATAAAACACACTTGTTCTTCCTTCCTTAGAACAGCACAAGAGTAACGAGCTAAAAACAAACACTTAATGATTTGTTTAGAAAGGGATATAGTTTGTATAAAAAAAGTTCAAAAAAAAATTGTTTGTATTTCTATACAGGTACATCCTGTTAATTCCACTACAGGTTTAGTATATGCTGGGATCTAAGCATTTGCGTCCTGTTAGTTTGCTGCTGAGACATAGTGCAATCAGACTTTTTCTACTCACATACTACCACCATTACAAATTTGTCCCCCAAAACAGTTTTTATGTACATCCTTCAGCTGCATTTAATTAGGTCTGAGAAATAAATGAAAAGTCTCAGTAAAAGACTGAATTTGTATCTGGTAAATAAAAATAAATCTGTTAACAAATTTATACAGCATTCAGAAGGCAAGTACATATCAACAATACCACTTTTCACAGCCACTTAGCAAGAACATGCTTCTGACATGGTTGCTTTGGGTAAACACTGTAATACAGTGCATTTAATCATACACTGCTTCTGAAACATTGCTATAGGGCATGATTTTCTCCACAAGAGTCAGGAAAGGAAACTTATACAAAACAATTATGAAAAATTAGCCATTTCACTATAATAGTCAGATAGAGCTGTTGCCCGCTGAGTGCTTTTGGAAACCTGATCCACGCCCTACGGTACAACTTTTTTTCCATATAAGTTTTCACTTATACACTTAAGCTTACTACAGCATGTAAGTAAAAGGACGAGGAATTATATGTCATCTTCACAGAGCTTTACTTCTAAAAGTAAGTGCATATAATCCTGCTATAAAAACACATTCAAAGTTAATATTGATATTATTTTTAACATCAAAAATTTATTCCATTGTTTAAGTACAAGAGTGATTTGAGACAAATATGGCTTATTAAAAATACGGGAGACAATTTCATTAAGGCTGTATTCATGACAACTCATGAAATATTAAAGGATATATACGAGTTTTGAAACTTTCCTCAGAGCCACAGCAGAAACTCCTTGCTCAGTCCTCTGCTACCTAGGAAAATGTATTTTTGCTTTTCATCCCTGCCTAAATTTTCCTGCAAAACAAGGGTGGAGTCAAAAACTCAGTACCAGGTGAGTTTAGATTGACTAGACAGAAATTTCAGCCCACATATTAGATCACTGCACTGTGAGGTAGATAAGCAGCTTCTTAGCAAGACAGGTCTCTGATCCCAAGTCCTCCAAACTACTAAAAGCTGAGAAAGGAACTGGGTAAGTCTCACCAGGCTTGTAGCCACTCTTCCGTGAGTGGTGGTGGGTTTTGGTTTTTTGTTACTTTTAAATTTAAAAGACTTAGAGTACCGTGGGATAAAGGCCTGGAGGGAAGAGGGAACCAAGAAAGCTGGCCATTATTCAAGGATCACCTACTCCAAGCTCAAGAGCAAAGCATCTCAAAAAAGAGGAAGTTGGCCAAAAACGCCAGGAGGCCTGCATGGATGAACATGGATGAGCTCCTGCACAAACTCAAACAGAAAAAGGAAGCCTACAGAGGGTGGAAACAAGGCCAGGTATCCTGAAAGGTATACAGAGAAACTGCCTG